GCGGACGCCCAGGTGCAGCAGATTCTGGCCGGCCTGGAGCAGACCAAGATGAGCGTGCGCCAGACGCTGGGTCTGATGCGCCACGCAGACTACCTGCGGCCCGTTCTCATTATCGCCTTGCAGATGACCATCCTCAACTTCTCCGGCATTAACGCCATGTTCGGCTACGCCGTCGTTATCTTCAAGCTGGCGCGCACTGGGATCAACGCCTACCAATGCGCTATGGTGCTGGCGGCCGTGCGGCTGCTCTGCAACCTCTTCTCGACGTCGCTGATCGACCGACTCGGGCGACGCGCATTGATCTCCATCTCCGGTGCGTTCTGCACCATCTCTCTGGCCGTCATCGGCGCCTACTTCTTCGTGCGCCAGCAGGACGAGGAGCTGGTGCAAGACCTACACTGGCTACCGTTGGCCAGCATGATCGTCACCATCTCCAGCTATTCGGTCGGCATCGGCCCAATCAGCTGGGTCATCTTCGGCGAGATGCTGCCATCGTCAGTGCGCGAACTGTACGGCAGCATCATCATCATCTTCTGGTCCGTCACACTCTTCACCATCCTGCAGGTGTTTCCTGACCTGACGCGCCTACTGGGCAACCACGGCACGTTCTGGCTGTTCTCGGGTGTGTGCGCCCTGCAGGTGCTGTTCGCCTGCTTCGTCATCCCCGAGACTCGCCTGCGCACCCTGGAGGACATTCAGCACGAGCACTTCGTCGCCAAGAAGACTGAGGCGGAGCGAGGCGTGGCGAGAACTGCCGCACTGTGAGGCGGCGCAGCCAGAAATGTCGTGCTGTCGACAAAAAGTGGCGCGCTGAGTGGCGACTGGCCGGCGCACTAGGTGCCAGTCCCGCGGTGATACGCTCTGCGTCCGGTGAGGAGTGCCAGTAGCGGACGATGTTCTCGGTTGCGCCTGGCGTGTGCTTCTCCCTCCGTCAGGCTGGCATCCGTCTTGAACTGGCGCGTGTGAGTTTTTGGTGTTCTCGAAAACGACCTGACTGAGACATGTCCTTGCGATCGAACCTCTGCGCTGGTCTGTTCTGGTGGAAGCATTCCCCGAAGCGAATCAACAGTTACCCATATGCACCTAGCCGGCCCCACCCGTGAGCCGTCCGTACACCCACACGGCATGCGCCGGTGATGAGTGCTGTTCAACACGTAAGATCACCGACGGAGATGAGTGTCGCTCTGCGGTCTGAAAGCAGTGACTCAAACATCACCGAGAGTCCTTCTTCAGCGCTGGCAGCATTCACGTAATATTATTGATGATTGCCACTTGGTTTTGTTTGAAAGCATTTTCGTAACGAGGGACTTTGTGTCGTGGACAAACGTGATTATTGTGTAGGGCCATTGCGTTGGCGCTCCAGTTTGCTGTGCATGGGACGCACATCCAACTAATATCAGCACAGACCCAGTTTGTGTGCCTGTGTGCTTTGGTCTGACGTGCTTCGAATTCAAATCGCAAAGCAATGTGCTGTTGCATTTCGTTGGCGGACCAGCTGTACGCTAGCTGGGAGACGTGTACAGTAGAGTAATAAGACGTGTGGATATTTTGCGCACCATTCGTTTAGTCTGGCTATATACGGCTCATGAGACTCTTCGCAAACTGTTTTGAAAACGCTGCCATTGAAGGGCCATCTAGTCCTGGCTCTGTGTGGAGGGCGTGGTGAGAGCAGGCTGGCATGCGGCCTTTGCTTGGCGCATACAGCCGCTTATTTGTGGGTGGTCGTCGCTGCCTGATATCGATTCGTCATATCTCACGCGTTATGATGTTATCGCACAGAAAGCTTAGCGAGAATGTGTCGCACTGATGTGAATGTCAGGAAAGTGTGTGTTCCAGATCCAACGGGGTTAGAGGGCGGTCCATACTGACTTTCCACTGCACCATCGTGCCTTTATTGTCATGATCTTGTTGTGGTTTGTAATAGAGACTCGTAATAGATCGTGATCAGTAATAGAGACTCGTAATATGTCGTGATCAGTAATAGACACTAGCTCACGTCATGAAGCTGCTGTTCGCCAGAGATTTTTTTGAAAAATACAGAGATTTCGCAATTGCATCGTTTCCTTACGCTGCATTGTGGTTTCGCGTTTATACATTAGGGCATGGTGATGAGAGAACATCGCATGACTGCCTCATGCTCCCGGTCAATCAAATGATGTTGGCAAGTGCATGGCAAGTGGCAACAGGAATTGTGCAAGAATCAGTAACTCACAACTGCTGCTGTGGTACAAACAGGTTAGACAGGATGAGATGAAGTAAGTCCTCTTTAGGTTAGGCATAGTTAAGCTACATTCATGGAAATAAGCATTGGTTGTATGAAACAGTAACAAAATGTTTCTTTTCCCTGACCCCATCTTAACAGAAGCCAGAGGTAGGTCTATTGTGTTTGGCTTAGTGATGGGCTGATGTGTAGTAATCCCATGTTTTTGTTTTTTGTTTGAGTGTTTTATGCTTGTTGAATTTTCTGTTGTTATTTTGTTATTGAATTACTTTGCTTTGTTTTGTTTTAAAGTGCTGTGGAAGGGAAGTACAAAGTGCAGCATCAGATTATTGGTGTTGATAATTTTTCAAGCTCATTACACTGTCATGAAATTACAGTGCTTTAATGTATTCTGTTTCCCTTCAGTTTTGTCAGGTTTCTGATATTACGTCCATGCCAACTTGAAATAGATGTCTTTGTTTGCTGAAGCATCAGTCACGAGCTCATGAGTTCCATCTTTTGTGCCTTGATTTTTTCACTCCTGCACGGTCTTTTTGCAATGAAATTTTTCACTCCCACCCTAGTTCGAAAGCGATTCTAGCTCGCTGTCAACATGGGATGTGCCATAACATGGGATGTGCCAAACATAAAGGTGGCGCAAGTACCATATTTGTACAAAACTTTGCCAGTTCTGTATTTTGTATTTTCAATTATTGCCAATATTGAGGCTCGTTTAGTCTGTTTATTTGTTAAGTTAAGTGACAACTTTTCACGTAGCATATGCAACGCTCTGCATGCTGAGCATGTCAGAGTGCTTTATGCGCTTTGACGTGCATGGCGTGTTTTAAGACGTCTCGGATCTATTTTAGAACCGCTTTATTACGTGCTCCAAACCCTGACCGTGCCCTGTGCGGTTCAGGACAGAGCAAGAATGTGTCTACACGGAATCAAAACTGCGTGTTTCGCCAGAATTTTGCCCTTTTTTGGCTGCGTACGAGCCTAGCTAGATAAGACCAGGTAGAAAGCCCAAAATTGTTCACAAAAGAGAGCAGTTTTCTTGGTGTCTTTGCCGCATTTAGCAGCCCGCACCTATTCTGGTGAAAGTTCACGGCCAAACACCTAAGAGAATTTCAGGCGCCGGCGGTGGGATGCATTAAATTATCCCCATGGTAGCTGCGACATGAAGACGCCCGAATGTCCTTGACAAACTTGTTTTAAAAGTACGCGCACTGAGTGGCGAGAGATCGCTGAAATATTCTCCTCTTCAGCTGTTTTCACCGCAGTTACTCTGCGAGCTTCATGGATAAGGTCCTTCAGGTGCCGCTACAGAACGAAATTGAGAGATGACGGTTCAGGGGAGTGAGGAGCCGACTTCGTGCCGAAGTCAGTGACTCATCACTTTATCACAATGCAAATGTTGGCAAATCGATTACTTTTGCGTTGTGAGCATACAGCACCAAAGGTGTCTGTCGTCATTATAACGGCACGCGAGACATATTTACGCATTCCAGAGAATAGACCCTACGTTCTACTAGCAGACAACAACCCCAGGCAGGGTCTAAAAGACCAGCACAGGAAGCAGACACGCTTGTTCTCCCAAACGGCTGGTCCGATCGCATTGAAGCCTCCACCAATTGATTCCGGACAATGAGGTGAACCATGGGGAGGCAATATCAAGACCTGACCTGAGTTCAAACACCTCGAAAACCCGAAGGGAAAATTTTCATGCAAATGTGGACAACTCGAATCTCGGAGCCTACAGGACCGATTGCTAGCAAACCTCCATTGGATGCGCCATGCATGATTGCCCCTTAAAGTTGACAATTTGGTGATCCTTGGTCAGGTCGAAAGTCGTCCAACTTTACAAATTCTAAAACTCTTACCTGCAGGCATCTCGTTCAGAATTTATTGTTCCGATTGTCTCCAAACCTTCGCCATTGGACGGGATATACTTAGCACTCGCAATGTATGCCATGAAGCCAAGCGCTACTGTTTTTATAGCGCAAAAGCGCGCAGACATCTTTTGGCGGTCGTAGACATTCCAGCAATGACGTTTCTACATATTTTGTGTGGAAATGCAAGGGCGTCGTTTTCTTTTGTGGTGAGCAGTCACACTAACAGTTAGGGTTCTACGCAATGATTTCGACGAGGCATTAGCATCACGGATGCAGTAACTGGTCTGACTTTTGTTCTCGTCTAGTGTCGAAATTTGTGCGTTGCGTTTTGGGGAATCGATTGTTCATCAGTCGTCAAGCGTCGCTGAGCTCTGGGAGGAACTTGACGATCACACGACGTACACATCAGAACCCAAATTTTATTCTTGGAATTGTTGAAATATGAACCGGAGTCTTCTGATTACCAGTCCAGCACTCTATCACTGATCAAACTGGGAAGGGAACCGTTTCGTTGCAATGACAGACGTACGTTGCAAGGTAAGTAGCGCAATCCGCCCGCCGTTTACACGTCATCTGGAATGGACTCACACGGTCGTAGTCATGTCTGCGTTCTTCTTTGGCTCTCCACCGCCAGGTGAGAGCGACCGGAGCCTTCTCGTACCGACTGGTGGTTACAGATAACCGCGCGGTGTCTTGGTCAGCTGACTGAAGGGCCGGTGGACCTCCTTCACCACATCGATGGAGTCGATGACGCCGCCCGTCCCATCCACTGAAACCTGCTCCAGGGACATGTGGGAGCCGTTGTGGAACGTCATACGCGTGAAGCCGTAGTGGATGCTGCGGAAGGCACTCCATGGCGCCGGCAGCGGCCAGAACTGGGTCGTAGTTCTCATCGCAGCCCTGTGGGGAGCGAATAAACGGACGTGAATCGCCGGCGAAGTAAAGTAAAGGGCCATGGCTGCATAAATATATGCAGCTCAATAGAGTAGGCCGCTTGAGGCAACAGCTCGAGTCCGTTACTGTATATCAGATTGGGCATGTTTCCCGCTAGGCGCGAAATACTGCAGTCCATGATCAGTTCTATATCTTCTTCATTCAACTTCTTCAAAGTAAGCAATCAACCAACCTCCAACCAGCCAGGCGGGGGGGGGGGGGGGACGTTTGAACGACCCTGACGTGCCGCGGCTGACGGCAGACCCTCCCCTGAGCTCGCCGCGCCGCTCCTGTGAGGCCCACCTACCGCCGAGCCGGTGGTGATGTGTACCGGGGCGCCGGGGTTGAGGTACGGCTGGTCAACAGTGCCTTTGAAAATGATGTAGTTGTAGATGGGCCAGAGCCGCTCGTACGAGTGCTCGTGTGCCCAGATGGCCAGGTCGACGCCGTACTCCATCAGCAGATCCTCCATGCCGGGGCTGCGGGTGCGGCAACGCCGCGGTGCAGTGGGTGAGGTCAGAGAGATGGTCATGACGTGCGGTAGGAGACCCTCAGAAACTATGTGTCAGCAATAGCTCATACTGTCCGTTACTGCATGTAGTTGTGGAGATGTACCACAGCAAAGTGCTGCCTATATTTCAAAGTCATTGTTGAAGAGGATTGTATCCCAGCGCACTGCACAGAGACGCACCGAACACGACTTAAAATATTGCTCGGGCGACCTCACATTTGGAACCCCAGCAGCTGACCCCGGTCGAGCCCCGCCGAGGGCCCTCCTCCATTGCCAACGCCCCCTTCCTGTGGCCGCGCCTGCATGTCCCTCACATGTTATGCTCCGGTATGCCGACTCGGAGGCGGTCGTGCGCCTTGGTGCAGTCGTCTTTGTCGAGGTTGGTGCAGTACATGGGACGGTGGCCGTACACCACGATCCAGGGTCGCTGGGCGCGCGCCGATGGTTCGCTCGCCATCTGAGGAGGTCGGCGCCAGTCAGATAGGGTGTGACGTCACACGCCGGCCTGGCTCGGGCGGCCGCGACAACGGGACGAGGGCGGAGCTGCAGGAAGGCTGGTGGGTAGGAAGCTGAGACTACGGAGAACGTGTGCAAGCAGGACCGCGACGACGGGACGCTAGTGAAGCTTCGGTGAAGCTCATGGGTGGGAAGCTGGGACTGCGGAGGGCGTGTACAGGCAGGGCCGCGACGACGGGACGCTAGTGAAGCTTCGGTGAAGCTGATGGGTGGGAAGCTGAGACTACGGAGAACGTGTGCAAGCAGGACCGCGACGACGGGACGCTAGTGAAGCTTCGGTGAAGCTGATGGGTGGGAAGCTGGGACCATGGAGAATGTGTACAGGCAGGGTCGCGACGACGGGACGCTAGTGAAGCTTCGGTGAAGCTGATGGGTGGGAACCTGAGACTGCGGAGGGCGTGTTCAGGCAGGGGAGCGATAAATGGACGTTTGTTAAGCTGCGGTAAAGCTTGTGAAGGGAGGATGCAGTGAACGTATGAATGGGAGCTCAAACGGAAGCTGTAATTACCTTGTCTCAATCCATGAGTGCAATGAATATGATGAGCAAAGCTGATCAGCCGATGCGCTAAAAGCTAACGGAAACTTCAGTAAACGTGGCGCAAGCATTGATGCGGTAAAGACCGCGGAACGCTTCTGAGGACGCAGCGTGGACTATGCTTTGTTATTCGCAATGTCACCTTTCGACCGAGTCAACAGCACGGTGGCACCAACGCAACCGCGTAACGCGAACTCAAGCCCGATATCCAGCCAGATGCCGTGTACCTCCTCGTACCGTGTACCGTGCCGTGTACCTCGTACCGTGTACCGTGCACTCTCCTCGGGAAGGTGACAGGTGCGCACGAGGCAAGGGAGATCGGAAACAGTTGTGACAATAGCAGCGCGGGAGAGTTATTGATTCGGCGCTGTATGTCGTGTTCACACATTCGTGGCGTTACGAGCGCGACCTGCTTCGCGTCAGATTTGTTTTCAAGGTATGTTGAATTGCTGCTGGTGTCGCATACCTGCAAATCTGCTTTCACCCAGTTGATT